CTGCGCTTTGCTTCTCGCCCGCGCGCTTCCCCCTCGCCCTGCCACTCACGCAGCTCACATGAAAAGGGCGTGCCAGTTGTGACTTTCTCGTCGACTCAAAAGTCCGCTCACCCCCTCCACTCACTCACCTCATGTCCACTTGCGCATTACCACATCTTGTGGTGGCCATGCTTGCGTGCAGCGGGGGTGAACGACCAGGTGGAGCATGCGCAGGAGCTGGCGGCGCTGCTGCGGCGCCATGGCGTGGCACACCACGTGAACGTCATCCCCTTCAACCCCATCTCCGACTCGCTCTACCGCCGCCCCAGCAAACCCTATGTGAGTTTAGCTCCTGTTGTCATGTCAAATGGCGTGAATGTGTGTGGGTCCTCCTCCTCCTCCTCCTCCTCCTCCTCCTCCTCCTCCTCCTCCTCCTCCTCCTCCTCCTCCTCCTCCTCCTCCTCCTCCTCCTCCTCCTCCTCCTCCTCCTCCTCCTCCTCCACCTCCACCTCCACCTCCTCCTCCCCCCTCTCTCTCTAAGTCGTACCCCAGGGCGTTGTCTACTCTCGTGTCGGTCGTTGTGCATAAAGATCCGCATGCTCTTTGCGTCTGGTCGGTGAACAGGTGATGGCGTTTGTGGAGGAGCTGAGGAACCAGAGGATCACGGCCTCTGTGAGGCACACTCGGGGCATGGAGGCAAATGCGGCATGCGGGCAGCTCAGAAATGATTTCCAGAAGGTTCCGTTGAGCATGGAGGCACCGGGGGATGGAGGAGAGCCTCTTGCAGAGAGCCTTTCAGCTTTGGCGTAAAGCTTGATGGTCTTTCTTTTCTTGTGGGCACCGCACATAACCAACACCTTGATGGAGTCTCATTTCGGCTAAATTCTACTATTGTGTGCCTGCATGCAGCGGCACGAAATTCTACGGCTGTTATGTAATAGTCCTACCGTACGTATTAGAGATTGTTCTACAGAAAGACCAGTTAAAGCCAGGATCTCAAGTAAGAGAAATTGGCTTCAATTGCAAAACACTTGCAGCTCGAGTCACCCTGTTTGTTTAGGCGAAATCGAGTGGTTGGGTTGGAGGTTCAGTGTGCGACTGATCCCCGATTTGCCCGTGAATCTCAATTGCAAAACAAATTGCTGTGCATGAGATTTTTCGGCAAGTGAGACACATTGCTGGGAAATGAGCTTCGGAACCCAACCAGATTTCCGTGCCTAGTTGGTTCGGAAGTTCACTGCGATTTTTGTTTGCTTCGCATCCCTCGTTTCAGCTCTCGTCAACTACTCTACCTCGTCAACCAATCACAGCCTAACACAATTCACTAACTGCAAAACAGCCAAACTACTTGAGATCCTGGCTTTAACTTGTCTGGTTTGGACAAACTGCGTACTGAAGAGTTCAGTAGGGCGTGTGTTTGGGAATGAGGGCACGGGATGGGAAACCCTGAAATCTCACTCTCTCCCATATCTCCGACACCGCTGCACCCTTCTCCACTCTTCTGCGCTCCTCCCCACTATACTCCGCCTCTTATCTCAACAAGGGAAACTTCGCACGTGACACGATACCAGACCACACCAGACCCGACCGAACCGAACCAGACCTAAACTCCCTTGCTGTAATGTTCAGTCTTCATCCGCTCAACTCCTTCATGCGGCCATTCACTAGAGCAGTGAAACGCCATTCTTTCTGCTTGGATCTAGCAACAACTATCACAACTACAAACCACCACTGCTCGCCAACGCCACCAGCACTGACCGACCAACAACAGCCATGGCCGCTCCCAGCCTTCGCGCGGGAATCTCGCTGGTCGTGCTCCTCGTCGCGATCACGAGCAGCCACGTGGCAGCGAGCTCGCACCTGAGCGAGTTCGTGAAAACGACCATAAAATCCAAGCCTATTGTCATCTTCTCCAAGTCGTACTGCCCGTACTGCCGGCGCGCCAAGGCGGTGTTTCAGCAGCTGAACGTGCACCCGCACGTGGTGGAGCTCGACCAGCGCGACGACGGCCAGGACATCCAGGACGTGCTCATGGACCTCGTCGGCCGCCGCACCGTGCCGCAGGTGTGTGTGCGCGTGTGGGGAGGTGGGATGGGGGGAGAGGGGAAAGGGTTATTGGGGGGGGGGGGGGAAGGGGGTGTGTCTGTGCGCGCGCGCGTGTGTGTGTGCGCGCGCGGATGTGGATGCATCTGCGGATGTAGGAATGCGCGTGTGCATTCGTGTAAGTTGACGACGGGCAGGAGATTCAGGACGTGCTCATGGACCTCGTCGGCCGCCGCACCGTGCCGCACTGTGCGTGTGTGTGGTGGATGCACTTTTGTGGATGCATGCGCGGGTGTAGGGATGCGCGTCTGCAATTGTGGGAGTATACGAGTGTGTGCGTGAGTGGATTCGAGATGCGTTTACTACTGGCAGGAATGCGCGTCTGCAGTCTGCATTCTCCCAGCCTTTTATTCCCTCACGATCTCGTTTTCCACCATGCATAATAGTGGTGCGTGGAGACTTTTGAGTCGACTCAAAAGTCATCTCCTTTTGAGTCGACTCAAAAGTCGACTCAAAAGTCATCTCCTTTTATTCCCTCACGATCTCGTTTTCCACCATGCATAATAGTGGTGCGTGGAAATGCATGTATCTTTTCATTGGGAGCACGCAACCTGGCGTGTGTTATGTACGTGCGCGACACGTCTAGCATGCTTTAGGTGGCGTGTCGCATGCACGCTATTCTCCAAACCGCTTCTCGCTCGCCTTTTTATCTCCCTCGCGCCACCTCGTCGCATCGGCCAACCTGCCGCATCCATCCATGTAACGCTACTCGGAAATTATCTTCTAGGGTCCTCATCCGCTATCCACAGTATCACACGCACGGATCCACAGCTACCTACGACAAGGGTTGCTGTCCCTTTTTCTTCCCTCCCCTCCGGGTCTCCTTGACTCCACTCCCCTTTTTTTGCCCCTCTGCGGTCCCCCCTAACACCTCTCCCCCCTTGCCCCCGTCATCCTTCTCTCCCCCACCCTCCTCCGCCTCCCCTCGTTCTCCCCATTCTCCCCCTCCCCTCCTTGCGGGCGTGCGCGTGCGCAGGTGTTCGTGGGCGGGGAGCACATTGGCGGGGCGGACGACACGGCGGACAGCTTTGCGGAGGGCACGCTGCGCATGAAGGTGCACGCCGCCATCAACACCCACTCCGACCTCTGAGGCTCCGCCCTGCGCTGCGGAGTTACGGAGGCAGGGAGACAGGGAGGCAAGGGGACGGGTGGGCCAGGGGGCATCAGGCGACGGGAGACAGGCGAGGAGGCGAGGGGTGATGGGGGGTGAAGGAGGAGAAGCAGGCACAGCCTGGTGGTGGAGGCGAGGCCGGCCCAAAAGGTGCTTGCTTGTGTTTCAAGTGCCATGTTGTGCACAGCAAGGCCTCCCCTCCCCTCACCTCTCCTTGTGGTGATGTCGCCTGGGAGCTCTTGTGGCAGTTCTAGTTGCTTGTACTGCTGACTGACCCGTCTTGCAGTTCCCTCATTCTAAATGTTGGCCGTCTAGGAACTGCAGAGCAGTCCCTGTGTCTCTTAATGGGTACACTTTCCTGTTGTATATGCGGTTTCTGATGAAATTTTGTGCAACATGGAGAAAAACTTCTGCCAGATCACAAGCAGGAGATTAAGAACTGCAGTCTTGTTTTTTGCAGCGGGAGGTTTTTCTTTATGTTGATTCAACACAACAGCACATAACATGGCATGGCGTGCTACAGGAATGTGGACATCAGTCCATTCTCTCAGTTGCATTTCACTGCGTGCCAACCAAGGAACCTCATCTCTTCACTTCGCAAGGAACGGCATGTGCAATACTGGAGTGACAATCAAAGCTTCCAAGCAACCAAGCCTTGTTTGCCAACCCCATGCCAGCCATGTCGCACATCACCAGCAGCAGCTCCATCTTCTGCTACGGTATCATTCACAAGCCATGGGACATGATTCAGCACCGGATCATGAGTTTTGGGTCATCAGAGTGACAGAAGCGGTGGAGCGTGCAATCGTGCATTCATGGGTAAACCATGCACGTAGAGGCAGCAGCACGGCATGGTGGTCGTGGCGCGGTGCAGTCACTTGCCAAGTTGCCACCCCTTTTTCAGGAACCTTGGTGTCCCCCCACATCACATCACCCTCTCCCCCCCCTCCTTCCTCCCCTCCACCTCTCTCCTCCCCTACTCCCGTTGCCCTGCTGTGGCGAGTGCTGCAAATCTCTCCATTTCTGTCATGACTGCAGCTACAGCTACCGTATCGGCCCTCCAGTAACACGCTAACACGCTACGGCTATGTCTACCCAATTTCCTCCTCTACAGCTGCCCTCTTTACCTCCCCTCCCCCACCTCTTCCGTCCCTGCCCCAGAGGTCGGCTCCAGCCAGCGTTTGAGTCGTCAACTCAGCATCACCTCCTCACAGGTGGCTTGACTGAACCAGTTTCGAGAGCTCTCAAAAGTCAACGCACCAAACAAGTCGCATCACATCACGTCACGCCCCCCGTGCCTACTCCCTGGAGCTACCTCCGCAGCTGTCATACCGTATCATGAGGTGACTCGTGAGTCGACGCACAAGCAAGTCACATCACATCCCTCCTCTTCCTCCTCTCCCTACAGGTGGCCGCGCAGGTAGCGTCGGAGCACGGGGATGACGATGTGCGGGGCGGAGAGCTGTGGCAGGTGCTGCACATGCTCCTCATGACTACAGCCACAGCTGCCATATCAACCCTCCACCACCACGCTACAGCTGGCTCCACCTCCCCGGTACAGCTCCCCACTTTTACCTCCCCCTCCCACCCCTCACTACCCAGCCCTACAAGTGGCATCTGAACATGAGAAGGAGCCGGGTGGCGAGTCGATGCACACAAGTCACATCACATCCCTCCTCTCCCTACAGTTGCCCCTCAGGTGGCGTCTGAGAATGGGGATGACGATGTGAGGCGCCTCAACTCGAAGTGAAGTGACTTGTGAGTGGACCCACAAGTGACCCTAGAGCTTGCCTCCCTGCCTCCCTCCCTACAGGTGGCCGTGCAGGTGGCGTCTGAGAACGGGGATGACCATGTGTGGTGCGGAGAGCTGGGGCAGGTGGCCGTGTGTGGGGAAGATCTCGACGACGCTCTTGCCGCCCAGGTGCGCGTGCATGTACTCCGCCACTGCCACCGGCACCGCCAGGTCCTGGCTCGACTGCAGTATGTGACAGGGCACCTTCACCTGCGGGGGAAAGGGGAGGGATGAGACGTGGAGGGTTGACTGTAAGTGGTAACTAGAGGCACCGCCAGGTCCTGGCTCGACTGGAGGATGTGGCACGGCACCTTCACCTGCGGGGGTGGGGGAGAGATTGAATGGGAAAGAGGTGGGAGGTATGTATGTGGAATCTAAAAACGCCGCCAGCCAGGTCCTGGATCGACTGCAGGATGTGACATGGCACCTTCACCCAGGAGGGGAGGGGGGGGGGGGGGGGTTTGAAGAGAAAGTGGTGGGGGAAGGGGTGGAAGGAGGGGGATTGTATGTGGAATCTAGAGGCACTGCCAGTGCCAGGTCCTCGACTGAAGGATGTGACATGGCACCTTCACCTGGAAAGAAAGATTTCGGGGAGTGGGGAGGGAGGGAGGGGATAAAACGTGGAGTCTAAAGGCCTGGCCTGGCAGATCCTGGCTCGACTGCCTAAGGTGGCAGGGGAGTTTACCTAGGGGGCGTGGTGGAAGCAGGAAGGTGGGGGCATGGGACATGGTGAGGCAAGTAGGGGTGAGTACTGACTACAAACTGAAGGCCTCAGCAGGTCTTGGCTCGACGGCTAGCGGCACCAAGGATAGCGTTTGCTGGCATCCGCCAAGGGTATACATACCAGCCCCCTCCCCTCCCCTCCCCTCCCCTCCCCTCCCCTCCCGTGCCCACCCTTCCCTTCCCCTCGGCGCACCTGCGGCAGGATGGAGCGCATATCAGACTGAAAGATGGTCTTAGACACGGAGAGCGCGATGTCAGGGCGGATGCAGAAGAAGGTGCGGCTGAACTCCTGCACCGCCGCACTGTTGATGTCCGCTCCCACGGCCAGAGGTGCAAAGCCCGACACCCACGCACGGAAGTTGGAGTGCATGGCGGCGAACAGCTGGTTCAGATCCTCCTGCTCGAAGCCCCCGAAGTAGTCCACGTCGTTCAGGTACCTGCACGGTGGCCGTGGCAGCGAGGGCGCCGGGAGAGGGGTTGGCGGGAGTGGCGAATGGGGAAGGGAGGGGAGGGGAGGGGAGGGGAGGGGAGGGGAGGGGAGGGGACGGGGGTGTACTGAGGGGGGGTGTGCGGAACAGGAAAAGTGACAGGGAATTGTGGTAGCGGGAGAGGGGGACGAGGGTACTGGTGGTGGGGACAGGGCGGGAAGGAAAGGAGAAAAGGAGAGTTACTGTTATGCGTGGCCAGAATAGAATATGACTCACTGTGCTTCAATCAATCAACTAACACCAACTGCCCCCAATTCCACCAAATCGCCCGCCCGCCCATGTTTTTCCCCATTCCTTCGCCCGTCCCTCTCCCAATCCCAACTCCCCCGTCACTTTGTCTCACCACTCTCTTTCCCCAGCCTTACTCCCCTTCTTCGCCACCTTTTCCACCACCCCATCTCCCTTCCATCCTTCCCCCAGCGCTCCGCCGCTCTTTCCCCCCAATCCGCCCTCCCCTCTCCCCCTCCCCCCGCACCTGGGCGACGCGCCGATGAGCACGATCTTCTTGAACGCCTCGGGGCGCGCGATGGCGGCAATGCACCCGATCATGCCGGACACGCTATGCCCCACGTACGTGCACTGCTGCGCGCCCACCTCCTCCAGAATCGCGAGCAGATCGTCCGCGTAACCATGCAGCGACGAATACCGCGCGAAAGAGAAGTTATCCGGGTTGGTGGACCCCGCGCCCATGAGGTCTAAGAGTAGTAGGCGGTAGTCGTCGTCTAGTAGGTGCGGCACGATGTGCTGCCACACGGATTGGTCTGTTCCGAACCCGTGCCCTAGGACCACGAGTTCCGCCGCCGCGTCGCCCGAGCCCAGCAGCCGCACGTTGTGCTCCTCGAGAATCGACCCCATGGTTGGGTACCGTCGCGCCGCGGATGAGGGGGGGGTGAGGAGGTGGTGGGTGCGGGGGGTGCTGAGGGTGAGGGGTGTTGCGGGGTGGGCGGGTGCGTGGGCGGGATAGGGGGACGGATAGGAAAATTACTTTTGCGTCGATTTAAAAGGTTGGACGGGTGGGTGTGTAAGCCCGTGTGCGCGCGGGATGACCCCTCCTCGAGCCGCCTCGTTATCTCAGGGTCACCGCGGCCGGATGGACGGATAGTCGGGTGAGCTCAGGGCGGGTGGTGTAGCGATGGCGGACGCAAATGGATGTCACGTGGTGCGACAGAGGAGCTCGGGGGGGAAATCGGAAGCGCCGCGGGATGCTGCGGACGGTACTAGCCAATCCTGTGCGTGCGGCGAGAAAATTGGCTCTTGCGAGGAAGCTCTTGCGAGGTGGATAAGGACCGACGGGGCTCGAAACGGCCGCAGCGACAGCGCAGATAGGAGGTCCGAGTACTAGTCGCGAACGAGGTGACTTTCGATTCGGCTCTAAAGATGTGACTAGTCAAAGAAGAGCGGCGAGGGCCGCTGAATCCGGTATTTCAGTCCACTGGACCAAAGAAAACACCGCCTAGTTGGGGCGGCTGTGCGTCGAGGTTAAACACGCTTGATCGCACAAGGAGGAAACCACGAAATTCAGTATTGAGGCAAAGACACTCGCCAAGAATTCATGGCGCGGTTACTGCCCTTGTTAGGGCGTGTATTTTATGAAATTAAGTAGTTTGTCCGCGTATCGTCACTAAAACGGGGCCTCCGTACATATTTTTCGTGGTTCGGCAAACGCGTACAGACCAGACCTCGAACTGACGTTAAATACGCGACTGTTAGTCGCAGTCCACGTGAGAGTACGTGATTCTTATAATTACGAGGAGCAGAAGCAGCTACATGATAGTCGCGGTGAAACCAAGAGGATTGGTTTCAGCTGAAGCTGAGGGTCCCAGAAATTCGTCTGGCTTATGTATGCTGAAGCTGAGGGTCCCAGAAATTCGTCTGGCTTCTAGGCGGCCGCTCTTTCTGTTCGATGAGGGCTGTGGGCGTCGAATGCGCTGACCGATGTTCGCCACCGGCACTGATACAGAACATCCGATAGGAAGAAATACAGACGTCGCACGAGGCTCACCAGCAGCAAACATCTGCTTGATGAGCGTCCGCGAAATCACAGTGACTGGTGTGCGTGTGTGTTGTGTGTTGTGTTGCTTTAGTGGATGGCAGGAAGAGCCATCAAGAATGAAGTGGGGAAATAGGAAGAATGGTCAGATGGCTGGATGGCTGGATGGAGGGGAAGAGGGAGGTTTGGTATGGACTCTGCCTGGGGAGACACTGGGAGGGCCGGAAGTGGTTCGGGAATCCAAGGGACCCCGAACTGGATGCTCGGACGGAACCGTTGCCCTAAATTTGTGGCGTCCGTCTGAGTTTGTGTCCGTAGGGATGACATGTCAACACTGGCAGTGTCAACCCGAAGCGCGCGGAATTTGGAGTGTCAAGCACTGTAGCTTCAGGGTCAAATCGAAATGCAGCACAAAATCATGCGACGCAACCTTATTGGTTTGGCACTGATTTGAGTAGACAGGCGATTCGTTGCACGACCTTGCAGTCGCACAGGATTTTTCATCCGCCGATTGGGCAGGTGTCTGTCGTCAAAATTATTGATCCGACCAGTTTGGATGGCTGGATGGAGCTACTCGATTCGCAGAGAAGGATATCCGACGAATTTGACTGGCGTCATGTCGTTGACACTCTGCCAACAATGTTGGCAAGTGTCAAAACCACCAGTTGACACTCACATGCTTGACATGTCATCCCTACGGACACCTGAAACCCCGATTTTGTAAAAAACATTCCAGGGCGTTTATTGAAATATCACCTAACAGCCCATTCCAAAGCACCCCATGATTTGGCAGTTCCACCTTTTTATATAGTGTGCCGGTATTGCCCGCTTTATAATACCGAATCCGATAATTGGGCTCGTAAAATATCAGCCAATCGACTTGTCACCAAATGCTCCAAATTTGGTAGAACCGCTATTTTCTGTCCGAGCTTGTTTGTGGCTGCTTAACCTGTTTCAGAAATGTTTTGTGATTAGTTGCGCATCGAATATGAATGGTACCCGCAAATTTGGGCATACCATTGAAACAAGCCCGACTACAGCAAGAAACGGGTCTCCCACCGCAATTCCCGCAATATCCCACTGGTGGTGAGATCCAAACCCAGAAATGTAAATCCCATGTTTAAAGCTGCGGTCTACATTCGTCAAGTGGTTTTTTAGGGGTATTTGTAGTGCTAACCCTTTGGCGTGTGTTTATTGGATTGCGAAGTGAATGTTTCCCTCAATCACCAGTGCGATGAAGTCTAACAAGGATGGCGAGTCTGTTACGATATGAAATTGAATGAGTAGGCATTCCTGTATGCTGCAGGAGCCGACTCTACCGAGTACGAAGTCGAGGAGTCAGAAGAGTCGAAGCGACGCAGCAACTGTCTAATCAAGACCGATGCAGGCAGAAACATTTGAAGTGAAAAGAGCGGGAACAGGTTTGAAACGGGTTCCCGCGCCGCACGGTTTGAATTTGGCTGCAATAAGGGAAGGTACCCCTTAGAGTACATGGCTAGTCTAGGTCTTTTCGTATTCCCCTGTATTCTTATATAAACCCGATGTATGCATGCTTTTATCAACTCAGTCATTTACATTCACTCTGACCTGAGATTCAAACTTCCGCTGCAACACTACTCTGCGATCAACCCTGAGCGATCCTTCGCTAAGTCCCACTTAGGGATTGTAACATGGTATGAGAGCTACTCGGGGATTCTTCGCATCTTCACTTCCGTGAAACTCGCCGAACCAAGAACTGGCGAGCGGCACAGACTCCAAGACCAAGATGGCCGGAGGATCCGGAGGCCAAGCAAATCTGACGGCTGAAGGACAAACCAACCCGGCTGCGACAAATGAGGCGACAACTACGATCGGCACTGCCGCACTCGAGCAGTTATTCGCTCGAATTTCAACTATGGAGAAAGAACTCCAAGATTTGCGCAAAGGCGTTGCGGGAACCTCTTCCCAACCAGGTCAACCTGGACAACCGGCTGCGAAAAGCCGTGATACCGCCGCGCACACCTTCTCCCTCGACACAGACAAATCAACAACAACTGCCCCCCGTCCAAGTGATGAAGTCATTAACTCTGCGCAAGCACGCTTCCTCAGCGTTTCAAAAATTAAGACCACTGCCGCATTTGACGGCAAAGATTTCTACACATGGAGTTTTGAGCTTGAGCTCCTCCTACAGACAGCGCAGATCTACCATTACTTCGACGGCTCCTATTCTAAACCGGTGGACGACACCGACGACGCCAGGGCTCAGTACTACAGCGAGTCCCTCATGGCGTATAGTGTGCTGCTACGCAACATGACGCCTGCAGAGCAACTAAGCATCCGCTCCTACAAAGAGAGCGCCGCTCCAGCCTTGGAAGCATGGAAGCACCTCGTTGAGGTTTATCAACCGAAGGACTCGGTTACCACCAGCAGGCTCCTACAGCAACTCATGGAGACAAAGATGGGGCACGGGGAGAAAGCGAATTCTTACATTAACCGCTGTCGCAACATACGTGACCAGATCACGAAGCATGGGAGCGCAATCTCGGAAGAGATCTTCGTCAACATAGTCCTTCAAGGACTCGGGCCAGAGTGGAAGCCCTGCAAAGCGCTACTCCGATAGCGAGGAATCATCTCAGAAGCCGCGCTATGCGCCGCACTCCTGACTGAACAGCAGGACATGGACTCGAGCAGAACAAGCTCAGCGCCGCGCCGAGAGCGCCTCGCCTTCTACGCTAACAACCGTGAAGAGCGACAACAACCAAGGCGCCACTATTGCAAAATATGCAAAGTCTTCGGACATTCAACGGATCGATGCAAGTCCCGATCCAACTATCGCCACCCAAACTCCACTCACCACAACAACTGGGTCGGCCGACAAGATGCTCGTCATCCTCAGTCTCAGCACCAGACACCTCGTCCTCCTGCGCAACATCAACATCAGCAAACTGAAGGACCTCAATCAGGAGCTCCTAGAAACATCATCGCAAATATGGCGACGCGTCGACGTCGCACTGCTGAGCCTGACGAAGAGAATGAGATCCAAGGAAGACTCCTTGAACCAGAAGAGGTTTGGAATAATCCCCTCACTGAAGATCACTATTACATGTATGACGAAGACGAGCAGGATTGGAATCAGCCAATCACACTGCGGGAAAGCCCGCCACATGACAACCAACAATACGTACCCGTGGGATGGAAGGAAGACGAAGACCCCTTCTTCCACAGGCGCTACAAGGCAACCCTGGTAACTCCGCGACTGGCGCTACTTCTGCGCAGAAACAACGCCGACAACCACAACACCTAGTACCTGGACAGCTGCTGCGGACAGCACATGGTGGGATCCACGCGATACGTCTCGAATCTGAGCCGCGCCCCCGCAACTTACGTCACCGTCGCCAACAACGAGCAGCTCCGCGCCAATGCGCAAGGCATCGTGGTCCTGCAAGCGCGAGACAGCAACACACACATCTCGTTCAACGACGTACTCTACGTCCCAAACCTTCGTTTTAATCTCTTATCGGCAGGACAACTTCGCGACTGCGGCGTCATACTCACTACGGACCTAGCCACACGCGATCTCATCCTCACCTACGCTCCCCCGGACACCCCTCCCGAGTCGTTCAAATACCTTGGACGAGCCCGCTCAATCAACGGAATCTACGTCTTAGACTTCGACGTACCTTCCTGCCAAGCATCATCCGACGAGCTCGTGGACCTCGTCCCTCTCGAGTTCGCCTACATGGGCAAGGAATCATGGGAACACCCAGACGGACGACCATGGATTCGCCGCAGCCCTCATCCCCGCGAGATCAATCTGCACGAGCCAGACATCAATGGCCTCTGCACCACCTGCCACATACCCACGGCGAGCCGCACAGAGCAAGTC